ATCATTTGTCTGAGGTCAGGAAAAAAGCTATAGAAGCCATAAGAAAAGGCCAAGCTTCCTACCTGGAAAGGCTCAATTTACATAGAAAAGGAAAAGAATATCAGGTGGGTGACAAGGTGTGGATTAGAATACATCAACAAGCTACATATGTAGGTCGGAAATGGAGCCCAAAATATAAGGGCCCATATACAGTTATAGACATCGTCAATCCCGTCGTCATCAGAGTTCGCGACGACCAAAATCCAACTTGGACTGACGTAATTCACGTCAGCTACGTCCGACCATACGTGTCACGAACGCCACCGCCTGAAACGCATCCTGTCGATGACATCTCCGACAATGAGTATGTTCCTACAACCCCTACCTCTACGAAACCGCCCAAAAGTACTGCCGCTGAGGTTGGCAGTACCAAAGGTAATGAGGATCTCTCTAAACCCGTCAGAGATCCTTCAGCGGAACCATTCGATTTCTCTCCTTCTCCATCACCAAAACCAAAACAGAAAGAGGACTTTCATTCTTCTTTTGAAGGGGGTGGTTCTCCCCAGTCCTCTAAAAATTCCGAAACTTTTCGAACTTTTTCTCCTTCTATTCCAACTAAACCAATGGCTAATGCAACTCCATTCTCGAGCTCTGATACATATGTAGGTCGGAAATGGAGCCCAAAATATAAGGGCCCATATACAGTTATCGACGTCGTCAATCCCGTCGTCATCAGAGTTCGCGACGACCAAAATCCAACTTGGACTGACGTAATTCACGTCAGCTACGTCCGACCATACGTGTCACAAACGCCACCGCCTGAAAAGCATCCTGTCGATGACATCTCCGACGATGAGTATGTTCCTACAACCCCTACCTCTACGAAACAGCCCAAAAGTACTGCCGCTGAGGTTGGCAGCACGAAAGGTAATGAGGATCTCTCTAAACCCACCAGAGATCCTTCAGCGGAGCCATTCGATTTCTCTCCTTCTCCATCACCAAAACCAAAACAGAAAGAGGACTTTCATTCTTCTTTTGAAGGGGGTGGTTCTCCCCAGTCCTCTAAAAATTCCGAAATTTTTCGAACTCTTTCTCCTTCTATTCCAACTAAACCAATGGCTAATGCAACTCCATTAAATATAAGGGCCCATATACAGTTATCGACGTCGTCAATCCCGTCGTCATCAGAGTTCGCGACGACCAAAATCCAATTTGGACTGACGTAATTCACGTCAGCTACGTCCGACCATACGTGTCACGAACGCCACCACCTGAAAAGCATCCTGTCGATGACACCTCCGACGATGAGTATGTTCCTACAACCCCTACCTCTACAAAACCACCCAAAAGTACTGCCGCTGAGGTTGGCAGTACCACAGGTAATGAAGATCCCTCTAAACCCATTCGAGATCCTTCAAGGGAACCATTCGATTTCTCTCCTTCTCCATCACCAAAACCAAAACAGAAAGAGGACTTTCATTCTTCTTTTGAAGGGGGTGGTTCTCCCCAGTCCTCTAAAAATTCCGAAATTTTTCAAACTCTTTCTCCTTCTATTCCAACTAAATCAATGGCTAATGCAACTCCATTCTCAAGCTCTGAGGACATCTTTGTCTCAGCTGACAATTCTATGCATGAAGAGGTAGAAGAAGTTGATTCAGTGGAACCTTTTGATTTCTCTCCTTCTCCATCACCAAAACCAAGACAGAAAGAGGACTTTCATTCTTCTTTTGAAGGGGGTGGTTCTCCCCAGTCCTCTAAAAATTCTGAAAATTTTCAAACTCTTTCTCCTTCTATTCCAACTAAATCAATGGCTAATGCAACTCCATTCTCAAGCTCTGAGGACATCTTTGTCTCAGCTGACAATTCTATGCATGAAGAGGTAGAAGAAGTTGATGACACTCTTCCTACCCAGCAAACTGTCATTGAGCAACCTTCTTTCTTACAATCTCTTTCCCAAGGAGTTAAAAACCTGACAAACGAATTTGGAAAATTCCTAAATCCAGATGTTCCTTCTACAAATCCTAATGCATCAGCAGAGACTCTTCCTTCTCTCTCTGAATCAATTTACGAACATCATACTCCTCCTGGAGCAGTCAGTACTCCCAATACTTCAAAGGATAGGACAGAATTCCCTTTCAGCTCAAAGCAATCAGCAGAAAGACGATCCCTAAAGAAAAGAAAATCTCAATCTGAGATACCAGAAGAAGAGGATCTAGAAAATCCTGCTGAGCTAGAACATCAAAGGATAGGACAGAATTCCCGTTCAGCTCAAAACAATCAGCAGAAAGAAGATCCTTAAAGAAAAGAAAATCTCAATCTGAGATACCAGAAGAAGAGGATCTAGAAAATCCTGCTGAGCTAGAACAATCAAGGGAAAACAGATCTCAAACCCATTCTCATCGAGATCAACGTCCTACTTTGCAGGAAAGAACACCTGAAGGCGCGAGACACAGATCCAGATCGCCACCTAGAACAGGTCATTCTGCTGCTGGACCATCAGCAAAGAAAAAATCAAAGTCGAGAGCGCTGCAGGGTCTAACACCCAGCTCTATACTTGCTGCCAGAACTCGACAACAAAATCAGCAGCAACAAACCACTCCAAAATCATCTCCTGTGAGTGGAAGAACTAGAAGCAGACAACACTGACCCAGTAGTGAGAACAAATAACACCCAGCTCTATACTTGCTGCCAGAACTCGACAACAAAATCAGCAGCAACAAACCACTCCAAAATCATCTCCTGTGAGTGGAAGAACTAGAAGCAGACAACACTGACCCAGTAGTGAGGACAACCCGCCAGATTAATTTCTGAGCCTTTGTTTTCAATTCCCCACTATTGGAAGAAAGTCTAGTGTTTCCCAAATTTACCGAGATCCCTAAGAAAAACATGTGGAAAGTACTGATAATTTTCTTCATCCTTCACATCTCCTCTGGAATTGAAATCCAAGAGATTGAGGAAAAAGAAAAGGGAATGATTTCCAACAGTCAAAGGTTTGACAAAGTTTCCCCACTCAGAACTTTCCCTGCAAATGTTGGGATCACTCTGGAGGACATGTTTTCTATTTGTACCCCAATCAATTTTTGGACAATAGAAACTTCTATAGATATTGGAAAACTTCATCCCTAAGAAAAACATGTGGAAAGTACTGATAATTTTCTTCATCCTTCACATCTCCTCTGGAATTGAAATCCAAGAGATTGAGGAAAAAGAAAAGGGAATGATTTCCAACAGTCAAAGGTTTGACAAAGTTTCCCCACTCAGAACTTTCCCTGCAAATGTTGGGATCACCCTGGAGGACATGTTTTCTATTTGTACCCCAATCAATTTTTGGACAATAGAAACTTCTGTAGATATTGGAAAAATTCATACTTTGATGAACAGTTTGAATGTAAAAATTCTAACAGTCATCAAGAACAGGCTAAAAACAAATTCCAGTTCTCCTACCACTATTAAATTAGCATACAACCTTTTGCAAGACAAGGCAAGTCAATTGACAGAAGAATTAATTAATCTTAGAATCAGAGCAAAAGAAACCTCCAAACCATTTCCTCCAGAGTCCTCCTACCTAAGTCTGCTACCCATAATGAGGAGAAGAAAGAATGAGATAGATGAGATTCAGGTCCAAGAGAAAAGAGCAACAATTTCTCCACCTGCTCATTACAGGCCAAATAGCAATATATATGAAGTGGCAACTCAATTGGGAAACCAAATAAATTCCACCTTGCCAAATGATGCTGCTTCCTGGTTATATTTAACCAGTCTTGGAAATGAACTAGCCCATTTCACCAGGCTTTTAATTTCCCTGATGGCTGACATGGACAGAATTCATCAATTTGAATATCCAATTACCCTCTTAACAAACTCCAAGGTTAAGACCCAATTGGAACAAATTATCAGGACTGAAAACAATCCTCCAACTACAGTTCTGACCCTCCAAGACTTTGTTGTCGTGCAAATGGGTTTTACGATCAATACGAAATTTTGATTCGTATTGAAAACCTTTAAGAGGATGACCACAATTGCCAACAATATTTTTATAATTAAATGGTTCGAAACTCTTTTACCAGGTAGATCCCAGGACCGAATACTTTAAGTATTCAAGACAATTTTGTGATAAATAAACACACGCAAGTTCGACTTACAAGTATTTATTCAACAGTCAACACTTCATGTTTTTACAGGATCACAACTGTGGTACCAATCATCAGGTCCATTGACAAATATGAGCTCTTTAAAATTCATGCTTTACCTATTGCTGAAGATACTTATATGGGAGCTCCTAAATGGAAACAAGCCCTTTTGAGGCACTCATATCTCTTATCTCAAGGCTCCAAACTTTATGGTTTAAATTCTCTTGACTTACCTATATGTTTAAATCAATTGGGACAAGCTGATTGCAGGATCTGTAGATTTAACAGGCCTCCTTCCCAAGAACTAGATCCTTGTGTGTCATCAATTCAAACTGGAGAAAATGAGTCTACAATCAAGGCCAAATGTCCTTTAAAGCAAATTAGCACTCCTAGCAACACTGTTGTGCAGCTGGATAGTGATGAGTTTGCATTTGTGGATAATGACAAGGGAAGGATCACTCAGTACTGTTCTGGTTCAAAGAATTCTAGCTTGTCTGCATCTGAAAATTCTTATGAATTACCTTACTCTGGAATTCTTCAATTTAAGCCTAATTGTCGCTATACAGTTGTGAATGGTCCTTTTACTGATGTGTTGCCTAAACTTGAGAATATTGAGATTAATGCGGTGCAAGAAATACCTGCTATTACGCCAGGGATCCATCAAATTTCCTCAGACATCAGTGAGCTACAAATACATTTTAGAGACTACGGTTATATTTATATGATTGTGTCAGTCTCTTTGTTGCTCATTATCCTACTTTGTCTTGTTTATTTATGTTATGCCAAGATACGCTATGTCTTACAACTTAGGAGATCCTCTCCTTCCAGGAGATCTAATGATGCTCAAGCATCTGTGAGGTTTATTCAATCTCCTACTCCTAAGCCTGCCATTTATCCTAGATTGGAGATGGACTCCTCCACAGGAATCTTGTCCATTCGCTGATCACTTTCTGAAAAGGAAATTCGGCTGGAAAAGACAAACAAAAAAGAGAATCAGAGGCCAGAAATTCTTTTTACAATTTCTCTTATTGCCTTTACCCATACAAAACGCGGGTACGAAAAAATGGCACTCTCTTTTGACGCGATTTTATATTTACGCGTTCAACATCTCTTTAAAAGGATTATTGTCCTCAAGGACCAACTCTTCCTTTTGCTCTTCGGCGACGGGTTTATCCGTCTCTTCCAGCCCCAGCAGATCCACCACTGGCTGGGCTTCCGGATCTGGCTGATCCTCCGGCGTCAGCATCCGCACCAACTCCCGCATGTACAATGACTGTACAGAAAAAACAAAAAGAGAAAGCCCCAAGCAAAGCATCAAAAATTATTGCATGCGTTGTTTTGTATTTACATGCTAAATTTGTTTACCTTGTCTAAATGTTGAAACTCTTGGGGATCTAGCCCTGATATCTGCATAGTTCTGAGAGAAAATCTCAAATTCTTCATCATCAGAATCTAGCCCATTAAAAAATATATTGGGCATAGATCCTACTATGCATTCGTTAACTTTAGCCTTATCTAGCTTTAAAATTCTTTTCTTTCTCTGTTTCAAAAATGCATGCACAAAAAAGCAAAGCAAGCACAAAAGCAAAAAGCATTGTTAATCATTTTATTAAAAAAGCAAAAGAAAAATTGGCTAACCTTGTTCCTAATGAACTTGACGAGCCAAACCAAAAAGACAGCCAAGGATGTGGCTCCAGCCCCACCAAGGCCCATGAAAACCAAGACCATTGCCGTCCATGGGTCCACATCCGCCTCGACGTGCGCAACACCATGTTTGATGTTGACCGTCACTTCCGGCGTTGACGACGGTGCCTTAATGACGTGTGGCGCCTCTTGGGCCACTATGACGCTTTGCTGCGTCGAAGGCGGCGCCCAAGCCACGAACGGCGTTTTGCTCGCCGGCACGTGGACAACCGCCAAGTTAGCCGTCGGCGCCACCGGGCAAGGCTCATCTGTACATATAAAATTTTTTATTAAAAAAGGGATGAAGAAAATTTTTTTTTGTGTCTTGGTGTTGGTCAGGTGTTGGGTATGTGTCATGATGTTATGTGTGTGAGTTGTGTTGTAATGATATATGTCTGTATGGAAAAGCTGAAAAACAAACTCACCAACCACCGGCGGAACCGCCGCCGTCGAGATTTCCGGCTCGGGTGGCACGACCTCCTCGCACCACCTCCAAGGCGTCACGACACGATCCATGTCGGCTCGACGTCCGACGCAGACCGTCGGCGACAGCAGTTTCACCTCCTGCAACAAGACTGGCTGTCACACTAGCACTTGTTTCATTTTTCGAAACTCACCTTCAAGTCCGCCTGCCTGACGCAGTCCAAGAACAGCGTTGCTCCGACGAACGTCACGCGGCGCCTGTAGCCGCCGGCGCCCCTCACTTCCTCGCCGCAGACGTCCCAACACACGAACGCCCCGTCGTCTGGACCACAGTCCGCTCCAGCAGCCGCAACACCGACGACCAGCAACACCAGGATCCTCAGGAACGCCATCTGTGAAAATTTTCAAAAATACTATTATTTCTGAAAAGAAAGAATTTTTTTTTTGACTCACTTTTCACTTGTTGGAGTTTTCCTTTGAAAAACTTGAAGATCCACAGTAGCACGAAATCACTGGTCAGTCGAACGATTTGCGAAACAATGTTTGAGGCCACCAACTCTAGGAGACCCATCAACTTCCAACGATTTTGTTCGACAGGAAGTCGTTACGACGCTGCGTCGTTCGAGACGAAAATCGTTAATTTAACGACCGAAAAATTTGAAAAAATTAATATAAGCTAACAACACTCACACTGCTCGATCAACTGCCTGATGCTCAGATCCTCTTCCTTCCCATGGATGTTGGTTTTGTCCTGAGAAGGACTGGGAAATTTGGAATTGTTCTTCCTAACGTGATGGATTCTAGAAGACTCCGAAAAATGGACAGAACCAAATGTGAGAGTCATTTTAGGAGAAATCTCGATTGGGTCATCTGTCAAATTCATGCAGAGAACTGGAAGGCTTCCATTGGAGATCCTAGAAAGACTCCTGGCGATTAAAACCCCATTTTCTTCACAATTGTGTACATAGACATCTTTTCCCTCATGTCTTGCCTCTTTTAATGAGGTCCTTGCTTTTATTAGCAATTGAGACATACTAGGAATAGATACCCTGGTACTTGGGTATAGCCTAAATTCCGAATCTCCTGTGGAGATATGATGGGTTCTGGAATTTTCGCTCTTTCTGAGGTTCCAATTTTTGAAAGATCTAGAGAAGAAAGGAATTTGTTTGTCCTTCAAGAGAATCAAATTCATGCAGAGAACTGGAAGGCTTCCATTGGTGATTCTAGAAAGACTCCTGGCAATTAAAACCCCATTTTCTTCACAATTGTGTACATAGACATCTTTTCCCTCATGTCTTGCCCCTTTTAACGAGGTTCTTGCTTTTATTAATAATTGAGACATACTGGGAATAGATACCCTAGTACATGGGTATAGCCTAAATTCCGAATCTCCTGTGGAGACATGATGGGTTCTGGAATTTTTGCTCTTTCTTAGGTTCCAATTTTCGAAAGATCTAGAGAAAAAAGGAATTTGTTTGTCCTTCAAGAGAAGGTTTTGAGATCTGTAATCAATCAGGGCTGAAACCTGATTTAATACATCATTTCCCAAAATTCCTTCAAAGTCGGAATTTTCCAGAGGAGAAACCAGCAAGGAAAATGGTAATCTCTCCGAGTCTGGCAAGAGGATGGTAGAATCAATTTCTCCTTCCACTGAAATATTTTTTCCTTCCAATGTAGAAATGGAAGTTTTAGTGGGTGCTGGAGAAACGTCGGATTTTAGAACAGAGGAGGAAATAAGAGAAATTTCGGACCCAGAGTCTACAAGAAATTTCACTGGAAAGTTAGAAGAAGAAATATTCAATAACACGACCGGAAGCTTTTGATGGGCTCTCCTGGAAAAACTCCCGGTCTCTATTCGTTTCCCGAACTCTGTTCCCATTCTCCTTCAAACTGATCCAATGCTTCGGATTCAGTTTGTCTATCTTTCCTATATCTTTGCTGTACATAATGTACGCGACGTCCTTTCCTGTCCCTGCTCATGCTTCGACTTCTACTCCTGCTTTTGCTCCTGTCACTGGAGTATCCCTCTCCAGGTGTTGAATCCCTTCTCCTAGCAGGTCGCGAGTTTCTAGTGGGAGTTGTACTCCTATTTCTAGGGATCGGACTCCTGCTCCGTTCTCCTCCCTTCTTCCAATTTCTCTGGTTTGGATGTTTATTTTCCATCATCCTGAAATTAGGTCTTTGTTGGTACCCCCTAACTGGATTCGGGCAGTCATTCTTGTAGTGGTCTTTTTCTCCACAATTCCAGCAACAGTTTCCAGAAGGATTTCCTGGATCCGCGCCCTGTGGGCGATTTGGATGCCATTCTCTCCTCTGTTGTCCCGGAAAAGATTTAAAAGGAGCTTTCTTGAATGAGACTGCTCTATTAAAATCGTTAGAGAGGGCATACACACCATAATCATCATCCCGATCTCTGTCTCTCTTTGTTGAGATTAACTGTTCCATCCCACCTGCCATCTCTATGGCTTGCAGTTTACACCACCCTTTCTGTACTTTAAATAGTATCTCTGAAAAGGAATTGGGAACGTACTTCATTCAGTAGTAGTATAAAAGCTACTAGGAAAAAAGAGGGACAACATTTTAATCAAGAAGAGATAACAATGGGTTTTTTGTGATAGTCGAAGTCCCATCCTTCAACTTTATCACTTTTAATTCTGTTGGAGTTTCTCCAATCATTTGGGTGCCAATTCGGCGGATTCTTGTTGCAAAGTCCCTGACCTTCTCCTGAGGTCCTTGCTTCGTTCCCTGAAGCTTTTTGATCCCTCCCAACATCAATCTTTCCCCATATTCCTTTTCCAAGGCCTGGACTATGAATCGATAGTCTTTTTCCAGCAGGCCTGGGATCCCCAAAATAAAATCTCTAGCTGTCCCCTTCAGCTTTTGTAAGAGCAAAGATTTTAACTGATTATTGGAAACATCGCAGTCATTGAGTGAGAGCTTAAAAATGCTCCACCACTCAACCCAAGGCTAGTCTGAATTTACTTTGTAATCTGTACAATACAGTGGTCAGCAATCTTGGCAGCGGCTGATTGGTTGGAGGAAAGGCGAGTCAGATGGACACAAGGAAGAGGAGGAACAGAAGATGACAAGGATCTTGGGGATATCAAGGCATACCGTGCCAGTACTTAGTTTGGCAAAAGTACGAGTACATTAATTTTGTGTGTATTCGCAGGTCCCTATTTTGGTTCGTCGATTTCACTTTTATGTTTCATTGAGCAAATCGGTTATTATGTAAATTTTTGTTTGGGAGTGTTTTTGCAGGTGGCCGATAACTGCGGCAGTTTTTATTTTATTTTATCCTTTATTCCAATGCTGTAAATAAATTATTTTAGACTTTCATAATTGCTGTACCTTTTATGTTACTCTTTAATACAAGTACAGCATTCCAACACTTGTGGGATATTAAATATCCAAGGAATGATGGAATGTGCCTACATAAATTGTGGGTAAATTGTGCATTACATTTCTGCATTACACATTTTTGGCAATATGCCAATTTCCTTACAAATTCAGCAAGATGCGCTGTTTTTTGGCGGTGTCCAGGTTCCAACAGTCAGTGATGCCCTTCATCGTTGCGCTGTAATTTGGAACCATGCTTTGCATGCAAGGTGTAAGTTGTGCTGCATGTTTGGAAATAAACCTCGCTATAAACATCACCATAAACATATGCACGCCATTCACTTGCAAACATGTTTACAAAGGCTTTTCAAGCACGCCGTTTACAATTTTAAATGGCGTGCTCTTTTGGAGTATACCTCGTGAAACAAAGTAACACACTATATAAATGGCTCCATTTATTTAGCGCAACACAATAAGAAACATTGCGTCATCGGGCGGAACGCCACTTGGTGGAAATATCCTATAAAATGTCTGTGAAAGCGTGAAATAAATGGCAAACATGATTCGCATCAGGAATATGTGCTGCTAACACAGTGGCTTGATGCATTTCAGGGTTTAATACTAAAACATACCTGGAAAAATTGCTACAAAGGTTCCCCCAAGGGAAGGTCTTTCACTTCCTCATACGTTCATTTTTCCTACGTTTTGTCCAGTCGCCAAATTACGAGGTTCCTGCATTGCACACGCGCAGTGTGTAGAAACACTGTATTACTCAGGGACCCTGACAACATTACTGCAGTGTAAATAACCTGTTTCTGACTCATGGACCCAGTTCTTGTCACCTTATTCCCATTTTCGAGGACCCCTACTCTATACGAAGTTTTCTTAATGGCCATAAACAAGGAGATTTAAAGCAGTTCACACAACCTTCTACATTTGTCTTAACATGCGTGGCATACCCTGTATGGGGTTTGACACTCGACATTGCCAATTTCGAGAGGACCCGATTTCAAATCCCATGTCAGGACCCAGAAAAACATGCCAAGGAATAGTGGTTAATGGAAGACTGGGTACCATTTACGGGAGCACAGATTTCATGTGATTCTGACTTCGTACTCAGGTCATCCAAAAATCCTCATGCGTCAAGAGGAGATGCAGGAGACTGCAGGAGGGGGTATGATACCATGAAGACGGGGACTTGACACGTGCAGACCTCGCCGTTAAACGGTCAGGAGTTTTACGGAGGGATTTGCATGTGATAAGTCTTTTGGCAGAATCATCATTAAAAAATCATCATTAAAAAAATAATATATAAAAGCCAGTATCATGTTTGTCTTCCAATTGAAAGTAGTACTGCTTATTTATAGTGGTTATAGTGGTAGGGAATTCCTTAAGAAGTCTTTTTCTCTAATGTAATCATTTATTAAACAGAGGATCAAAATGAAACATACGACATTAGGAAATGGAAAATGTGCGCGCGCTGAGGTAACTATAAGGCATCTTGCGCTACTTATTCTCATCAGGGCGCACCTACTATATAAGCGCACTGTGCTGGATTTTGAAGTGATATACTGCGCTACTTCTTTTGGGCACAGTGCAACATTTGAAATGATAGCGCACTAAGGCATCTTGCGCTACTTATTCTCATCAGGGCGCGCCTACTATATAAGCGCACTGTGCTGGATTTTGAAGTGATATACTGCGCTACTTCTTTTGGGCACAGTGCAACATTTGAAATGATAGCGCACTGCTATCACGCCATTCTTTACACGCCATAATCATCATCCCTATCTCTGTCTCTTTTTGTTGAGATTAATTGTTCCATCCCACCTGCCATCTCTATGGCTTGCTCAAATGTGGTGGGAAAAACATGAAATTTATCATAGAGACTTTTCCTTAACCCTTGCATGAAGTATGTCATCATCATGTTTTCGATGATCCTCTTTTCTCCCTGTTGTAAAATTAGTTCTTCTCTATACAATGGGTTCTTTGTGATAGTCGAAGTCCCATCCTTCAACTTTATCACCTTTAGTTCTGTTGGAGCTTCTCCAATCATTTGGGTGCCAATTCGGCGGATTCTTGTTGCAAAATCCCTGACCTTCTCCTGAGGTCCTTGCTTTGTTCCTTGAAGCTTTTTGATCCCTCCCAACATCAATCTTTCCCCATATTCTTTTTCCAAGGCCTGGACTATGAATCGGTAGTCTTTTTCCAGCAGGCCTGGGATCCCCAAAATAAAATCTCTAGCTGTCCCCTTCAGCTTTTGTAAGAGCAAAGATTTTAACTGATTATTGGAAACATCGCAGTCATTGAGTGAGAGCTTGAAAATGCTCCACCACTCAACCCAAGGCTGGTCGTCTTTTCCTTCAAAATAAGGAATTTGGCTGAGGATGGCATTTGTGGCTTGCATGCCACCCCTTGCTCCATCCTCTCTACCGGTTTTTATCCGGTAAAAGAGAGTTTCAGAGGCACTTGGACGTTCTATTTGATCTAAGGAGATGTCTCCACGAAAAATGGACTCCTTAAGACCAATCAGCTCATCCAAGGCCCTCCTCTTTTTCTCAGCCTCTTTCTTATCATGTTGAGACAACAATTCAGCCTGGGCAGCATCAATTTGTGCTGTAGACTCTTCCAGCTGTTCTATGCTGGGTTTTAGGGTATTTACCCAAGTTTCCAAATAAACTTTTTTCTTGTTAAAATTGAGGATGTTTTTGTCCAAAACCAGTGCTCTTTCTGATGTTGGGGGATTTCCTTCATCACCTTTTTCCCTCATAGCAGCATTCAGCTGCTTTTCCACTGTATCCAATAACAATTGGATCTCTTTCAATTGTTCCCTTGGGTCAGTATTTTCCCTCATAGCAGCATTCAGCTGCTTTTCCACTGTATCCAATAACAATTGGATCTCCTTCAATTGTTCCCTTGGGTCAGTCAGTTTTGAGATGAAATCCATCTCTTCCATAAAAACTGAGCTGCCCATAATTATTCTTTCTAACACGAAAATCTTTTCTGCCCAAAAACTCTTCTCCTATTTTCCCCACTCGTGTGTCGCGCCCCTTATTGTCGTGTGATGAAAATACGACCTACGTGCGCGCCGATGTTTATCGCGAGTCGGAAAAATAAAAGGATCCCCTGACGGAAAAGAATTCGCGTTCCCTATTTACCCGTATCCGAATTGCGGGTTCTTTCCTCTTTTATTTACGCCGACGCGGAAAAAGGTAAAATAATCCCGCTCCTCACAAAATCGACACAAATAAAAGAGTTCTTTTTCTTTCTTTTAATTTCTATTCGCTCCTCTCTTTCTTGATGTCAAAACAAAAGGAGAGTCTTTCAGAACTTTTAAACTCTTAGTAAAAAATCAAATAATTGCTCTTGATCAAGGAGCAATATTTTTCTTTTAAACTATGAGGTTCTGAAAAAATATAGAAATTACTTTACACTGCTTGATCCTTGCAGCAAAAATATCTCACTTAATTTTTTCCAGGAAAATTAAAAAACCTCTTCTGGTTTTATTTCTTAGGCTTCACCAGGTAACCTTCTCAATTAATTTTTTGCAGGTAAATTAATAAGAAACCTCTTCTGGTTTTATCTCTTAGGCTCTACCAGGCAACCTCAAGCGCTTTCCCTCTGATTTTAAAAACTTAGGCTTATCAGACAACCTTTCCACCGGTTTTTACTTTACCAGAAAACCTCAAAAAATCTTTTTTCTTTTCACTTGCAAGATTTCTTTTTTGTTTGTTTCCGCGGATTTGTACTCACGTTTGATTTTCTGTCATTGGCCTCGGCGAGTAGATTCAGCAAACTGCAGTTCTTGTTTGCTGTCTTTCTGATGACTTTTTCGCGAATACGCCTGACTTGACGGACTTTTCGCAATCTCGCGCTAATTTCACGCTTGGTCAGATATTCAAAATTGAACACTTTCAACTTTTCTCAATATTTTTGTACAAAATTTTACTTTATTTTTACTTTACTGAGGGTGACTCACCCCCCTCAAAAAGGAAAAATAAATTGTCGGACTAGCCGACTGCGCCCATTTTGTTGTCCTTTCTATTACAGGACTGAGTCGAGAATAAAAGAACCAAGTTCTTATTCTGGATTAATATCCTTTATACAATATTCTCATCCACATACAAAACATTCAATACAACAATACGAATGCACAAACGCACAAGTCCAGCTTGTACTTTTACTTCGAAATAGGTTTGAGCTTTAACAAGGCTTTGGCTATGGAGTTTACTGTATGAAGCTTGGATGAGATCTCTTCTGTGATTTCACCAAGCAGGGGTATTTAAGCCTAGCCAGCCTAGATGGGGGAACAAAGGAAATAATCAACGCGACCTTAATAGCGGAAATCCCAATCCGTGAAAGGAAATAATGTGGAAATCACTCTGAGTGAAATATGAGTGCGCTGGTTATACTTCGGTAGTAATGACCATGCACCACATGAACGAGAGATCCAAATATCACTGGATTTCACACAGGGTTGAGCTCACCAGAGTTCCAGGATTGATTGTACCATAATTACCGTAAGGAAGACTATTGTAACTAATCATGAGAAGTTGTCAAGACTTCTCACAAAGGAAAAGGAAGCAATTATCTATGCTTCTATGATTTCCGTTTCTAGGCTTTCTAAATGGTTTCTTCTGAAACACTTCACAAAGGAAAAGGAAGCAATTATCTATGCTTCCATGATTTCCGTTTCTAGGCTTTCTAAATGGTTTCTTCTGAAACTTCCAAAAAGGGTATTCTGTAAGTTAATGTATTTCTAAGATAACAGCACTCTGAATTCAACAATTCCACTGCCATTTTCATGTTTGTAATGAATTTGGTTTCAATATATCCTCTACGTTAGTTTACGCCACGTTATCAACAATGAAGCGACACCTGTCTGAATCTTCAGAATGAAAAATTGAGATTTCGCCTGTTGTATTATTTCCTGATGTGCTTTATTGATTAGAAGATTGAAAAAAAAATCCTCTGTAAATTTGTGCTACGCAGTGCTGAAAAAAGAAGAATGTGGCGATGAAATGGGCCTCGGAAATGGACAGCTTTCCGACAAACAATTGACTTTGTCTTCTTCGAAACAAGCCGGAAAAATGTCTGACGTCAGATTCGGCGGAGAACATTTTTGGCAGCCACTGGTTCTCGATAATAAGCAATTCATCCAGGTAAGCTACTTAAATTCCCATTGGGGGTCATCTTAAAAGGTACAAATGCAGCATTTCTCGTGAAATCCAAAAACAAAAAAGATGAGGCTAGCTTTTGAACATTTTAAATGCTCATCTTCGAACGAGAGAAGAACCAGGTAAGGATTTTATTTTAAATTGTTTTTTATTTCAAAGGTGGATTTCCTCGGACCGAGGAATATCAGTGGCTTGATTTTTGCCAGTGATATTCAAGTGCAAGTGACTGAGGTGAAGGTGGAATTTTCAAACGATGGACTCAACTGGATTCCGATTGGCTCGCAGGTGACAAATTTAATCTTACTTTTTAGCTTCCAAAGTACATTATACAGTACACAGTACTTTACTAAACATACTGCTGTTTAAAAAAATGTATTTTCAAGGTCACGAGAGCGAAAAGATCGCTAGAGCCAATTTTCGCGAGAAAACTGATCTTCTATCACTTGATTCGCTGCCGATACCTGAGAATTTCGCCAGTTTCTTGGACCTCGGGGATTTCTCTTCAGATTGAAATTCACGGATGCTTCGAACCTTATCGTGAGACCATGAAAAAAAAAGACAGCGTGTTTCAATAAGGGAACTAACAATTAAAATGCGCACTTATTTTCGAAATGTCCTTTCTTTCAGCAAGTGACATTTCAGACCAAAAACTCGACGACGACTGTCAAAGATGTCCGGGTGTTTTTGGCAACGCTTCATCGTCGTGTCCTTGTTCCGGTGTTTTGCGCTGGACAGGAAGACAATGCGTCGCACCTTCGGATTGTCCGTGTTTTTCGCAAAACCACGAGTGAGAATATTTTCTATTACTCTCGCTGGATATATGCATAATTTTACACTGATATTTGAAGGGGACTGATTCTGATTTTTTGTTCTTCCTTACTTCAGATACGCACCGGGTACGACTTTCCGTAACGAAAATTGCGAGGAATGCCTGTGCAAAATTGGCGGGGTTGCTGATTGCCGACCCAAAAACTGCACTCTGTTTGCGTGTCCGAAGGTAATAACTTTTTTCTTGACTACAGTTTTGCGAGAATACTTATTTTTAGAATGCATTTTTCAAAGCAAATATCCCATTTATATTCCCACATTTAAAAAAATGAAAATAGTCGGCCTTTCCCTCAATAAAAGTGCCATGATGATTATGAAAAAAGTCTTCTGATTTTTTTTCTCTTGCAAATTCTCTATTTTTTTCCATATCGAATTTCTCTGCTCCGAGTATTTTTGTACGGAAATCAAATCATAAAGGGCTCTGGAAATATACATTTTCCTGCGATTTTGTTCAAGTGAAGAACTTGCGCAATAACGAAGCGGAAAATCATGTGAACAAAAGAGAACCAGCAGGAAAATATCGCATCGTAGCAACTCAGCAAACCTTCGAATTTTGCTTGTGGAACTTTTAGAAACGGGTTTCGCATGAATAATGTGATAATTTCCACAGCCATTGTTGCATCGTGTTTTCATCAATTTTTAAAATTTAAATTATTTGCGCAGAATAATATGCAAAAATTCGCCGCGAGAGGCGAGGGTTTATGCGAGTGCAAATGCAGGGAATGTCCCGCTGGAGAACGACTCTGTCCGACATCCAACGATTGCACAAAAATCGACAAATGGTGCGACGGTGTCAGGGACTGTGCTGATGACGAACTGGATTGCCCGACACTGATGAGTATCACGACGACACCGAATCCGGAAATGACGACGACGGAAACCCGTGAGTCGAACCCACAGCAGAAGCGACATCTATGCCGGGAGTGTCTTGAACATATTCCTCTCGAAAATGTTTCTGGCAACGAAGCTCGGCGAGCTGTGTGTCCACGAAAAAAAACAAAACAAAACAAACAAAAACATCGCAAACATGTTTCAAATCAAATAATCAAGAATTAAAGTGCAAAAGTACGGACTGGCTAAGTACCAAGCAGTCGTACGTATTGCAGAGATTGAAAAAAAGGCAAATTTTTTCATGAATAATGTACACGCACAGTAGTAAAAGTAAACTCAAATCAATATGTGCGCTGTTTTGGGCATCACTCCCTCTAATTGTCGAAAGTGTGCCCTAATAATCGTGTGTTGGTTTCAGCTGAACGAGAAGCCCGTTGTTTTGCCATTGGAAGAACGGTGAAAACTTTCGATGGGACTCATTTCAAGTACGATTTTTGCGACAACACGATGTTGGCAGACCGAAAGAAAAACTTTTCCGTGAACCGTAAGAAAATGACTCGACAATTTCCTCACTTTCGTTTTCCGAGCGCAGAAAATGGGGAAATGAACTCTCGGACACGACCAAGTATTCTTTTTTTTTTTCTTTCTTTTTCTCTTCTCCAGTCAAGAAAATTTGCAACACCAGCAACGGCACGGTTTGCACGAGGGTCTTGGTGCTGCTTTTCCGCCACCAATCGAAGCGACACGAGCTGATTTTGCACAGCAATTTCACTGCTTTCTTCAACGGCCGGAGATTTTCAGTTCAGCAGGTGACTTTCGCCAGGACGGAAATTAAAAGCGCCGATTGGATACGACACAATAACTTTATATATATTTTTTCTCTCCTTTCTTATTCTTTATATTCTCGCACCTGCATGCAATATTTAGATGGATCGAATTTTGAGAAGAATGAAAAACTTCAGGATGGACATCTTCAAAATGGGCAATTCCGTGGTTTTGCTTCACGACCACGACGAAATTGGGGAAATTCGAGTCGTTTGGAATTCGCAGCAACACCTCCGAATAGCGGTATGCTCAGAGATCCATTTCACGTTTACTTTCAAAATAATAACTGCTTTTCTGAATCGTTTTCAACGGATTTAACGAAGAAGAAGAAGGAATGTTACTATACTGTACTCTTATTATAGCGCGAGATATTCTGAATTAATGCGGATGATGAATGTTTCTGCTTCGTCGTTTAATTGAATGAATCATTTAATTGAAACGAGAGATTACGCAGGTGAAATGTGGATTTCCTATGTGTCAATAGGATTGATGACGTTGCAGCATTTAATTTTTCATTTATTTCAGACCCGATTTCTGAATGTCACAGTATTTTCCTCCTGGTTGAAAAAAATTAGACTGGAAATTTATTGACTTACGAATGTATGTGCTGCGTTGGCAGGACTGATGGGTCCGATGAAGGAAAGCTCACGCGGTCGGACGCAAGGTCACGCCGCGTGACGAAGCAACTTCTCTGCTCCGCGTGGGGCAACTTTTGCAGTGCAAAAAACCTGCAAAGAAACGGGATTTCATCCCAGCAGGGACAACTTTTGTCGCACCTGGCTCAAACCCAGGGTGTTCCTGGCCTGTATAAAAAGGGCTGCGCATCACGCACAGCGAATCAGTCTATTAACAGCAGTCTCACACTCTTGTCCAGCCGTCTTCTTATTTGTTGTCAGTATTAGGTTATTTTTTGTAAATATCAAATCAGTTTTAGTTTACCTTTCCGTCCCAGCGTGATATCCGCAGTATTTCCTGTGTGTCTTTGTGATGCCTTTATATGTGACCTTTGATGATGAGCCAGAGATGCATTTACTGTAGTAGAAAAACTCCTTTCTCTACGAAGAGTTGAGAGTTTCTGCATCACGGCTCCTGCTTCTTTTGCTGAGAGGCCTAAATAATTTAAAATTCTTATTTTCTGGGACAATTCTATTTTTAACCGTGTACCCTTCGTTCATTCCGGCCCGAGACGGCCCACGCTCATTTGCTCGAGCATTTTAATCTAGATTTACCAAACTTTTGCTTATTCCAGCTCAACAGTTCTTCTTCTGTGATTAAAGTTGCGATTTTGAATTGTTTATATATATATTCATAATATTCTTTTTCAGGTGACCGGTGAAGCGCTGAATAATGTCTTTGGCATGTGCGGCAGTTTCGACGACAATCAAGCTAATGATTACGTTCTTCCTGGCGGAGGCTCGGCTCTGGTGTCCCAGGTTTTCGGGGACAGCTGGGCCAACAAGGCCACCAAGTGTCCCGACCCTGTCCCTTGTTCAGAGGATCTTCAGCGGAAATCCTGGGAAATTTGCAAACTTATCAAGTGAGTCCAATTCATGCGGAAACCCCCAAGATTAAAATTGTTGTTCGTAAATGTTCTGGAGAAAATCGTAATTAATACATATATTTTTTAAATCTTTGTGCTGTCTGCAGAGAAAGCCCTTTTGAGAGTTGCTCTTCGCACTTGGACGTGGACCAGTTTTTGTCTCACTGTGCGGAAACTGCGTGCCAATGCTTGCAAAACGCCGGGGGAAATCTGCATAAGATGGAGAAATGCCGGTGTAGTGCTCCGCAAAATTTCGCAACGGCTTGTGCCAATGTGGGTGGCAGTGAATTTTCTGAAACTGTGACGAATTGGCGGAGGCTTTACGACTGTCGTAAGTGCAATTTTCAAAAAAATATATAGTCTATAAGATTTAGTCATGGTGATTCTGGGGGAATAAATGTGGAGATCTGATGAGGATGACGTACGACTTTTCTCATATTTGAATTATATGAATCCTCAAGTTCCAGTAAAAAAGAAAATGAAGTTGACGACTGCATGAGCTTTTAAAGATAATATAGGAGTAGTGTGTCGCTCTTTGGATGACTCATCATTCGTGAGCCACCCGTTAAATTTTCCTTACACATTTTTTTTCGAACTCTCTGTGACATTGTAATTTATACTTGCTGATGCGAGTGCCACTTTCCGTTGCTTTCTTTTCTGCAGCTGGTCAATGTCCAAAGGGGTTCGTCCACTTCGACTGTCCACCGGACATGTGCCAGGAAACGTGCACGAATGGCGGCTTCGTGGATTGCTCGGACAGAAGAAGCTACCAATTGCTGGCAGACACCATGTGTTTCCCGGGGTGTTATTGCCCAGAGGGGCTCATCGAGAAAGATGGCGCGTGTGTTCCGCCGAAAACCTGCCATGACAGTAATTCAAGCACCATTTGTTTTCATTATGCATTTTGCTAAAATTATTTCATTTCTCTTAAGCTGCGGTGCTTCGTTTTGTTGCAAAACTTGGTATTGCATGCTGATGAGGGGGCGAAAATAAGAGGTAATTCAGTACAGTAAAAATAGTTATATTACGACGAACTTTTGAAGTGAACTTCGGAAGGAGTTGGTTTTTTACATCATCAGACGTGTCTATATATAATCATTCAATATAGTCTTTTCACAATATTTAGTTGGAGGGCCATATTGTTGAATTTTTGTAAAAGAAGTTCAGGTCCGATGGCCGCGGATCATATGAAACCTAAATTATATTTTTGCCTACGTCTATGGAATCCTCAACCCATCTCGCTGTTCGAAGCTTCAAAATTTTCTGTTGCGTTTTTCAGTGTCTTGCGAGGTGTCCACTTCCGGCCAACGGTTGATCGGATTCGACAGAAATCCGCGTGACTTCGTTGGCAACTGTTCTCATGTTTTGGTAGACTCTCCAGGACTTCAGGTTTGTGTCCCGAAAAGTCGTCATGCGTATAATTAGCCAGCAGCAGTTGATGAACAAACATGATTTTACCTACTTTTTGATCAAGGTTATTTGGACAAATGTGTGCAAGAAGAACTGTTCGAGTTTTTTGCTAATCGTTGGGCAGTCTCAGGAGATTCTCGTCGCGCAAGTAAAAACATATTTATTTGAATTTTTAAACTTCGTATATGTGGCATTGAATCGTGCAATTGTCTTTCGTTCAGAATGAGACCATCGTTAATGGGAAGCTTGTCGAACATGGAGTGAATTTGCGGACGGACGGAGTTGACGTCAGATACTTCGGAGAGAACCTTGCTGAAATTTTGCTCATTCTTGAACAAGTGCGAATAAGTTTCGCTGAGGAAAACTTCGCCATCAAACTTTCTTCTCACGTTTTTCGTGATTCAACAGGCGGACTTTGCGGTAGTTTCTCTTTTCAATAATGCCGGTTTTTTTTTTTTAGAACATAGATTTATTTTATTATTTTCTCGCATATTTGGAATAATCGCAGGTGACAAGAATTCAACGGCATTTTCTGGCCAAGCTTTGCAGAAATATCTGCCGGGACTTCAAATTTGCGAGCAAGAAGTTGGGGATGAATCCGTCAAACAATGTAGTCCGGAAGCAGAAAAATTGGCTCGCGAAATTTGTCGCGGGATCCACAGACCAGCAGAACACGATGTGAGGATCAGCATTAATTGGAAAACGAAAGTTGAAAATCCACCCTTTAATTGAATTTCCTCACATTATAAAGTGTTTGGCGCTGGAAAGCCCAACCAAGTACGCAGAAATGTGCGAGCGGGAGTTGTGCAAGTTTTCGCAAGAATCCCGCGACGAACTGATGGCGAGGAGTTGCGCCATTTTCCGCCAATATTTCTCAAGATGCGAGGAATTCGGCGTGTGTGTCCAATGGCGCTCAGAGCGCTATTGTCCTGGAACCTGCTCCAACGGTTTGTCAAATTTTCCAAGCTGACATCTCATACAATGATAGAATTTTGAAAATTCATGATAGCTTAAAAAAAAAATGTTGAATATACTTCTTTTAAAAAACTTCACTCAGAAATTGGGCTACATTTTGTCTTCCAAAAACAAATCTCGACGTTTTCAGGTGCCATGCTGGGTGAAACTTTTGATTAAAATATATTATAGATTCTACTTTTTTCTTCCACCTTTTTTTCACTGTGCGTTGAGGGGAGGTTTTGTAAAATCTAAGAGACAGAAAACGCTTTGAAATTTTTAAAATGATACGTGTCATTAATAAAGAGAAGAAATGCTTTCAAATCAGAAATTTTCAAAATACTTCGAACTTTACACGAATTTTCTTGAACTCGTCGTTGTTTGTTACAGGAAGAACATTCCAGTCTTGTCGGCGGTCTTGTTCCGATGTTTGTTCCAGTGAAGAACCCCTGAGTAAAATTGTGGATTTAATCGATTTGCGCTCTAAACCAACGGTTCCTGGAACCAGTTGCGCTGCCACCGGGTTTCTAGAAGGGTGCTTCTGCCCAGGAAATCAGGTGAGGGCATCTGATAAAATGTTTTAATGTATGCATACCTACATTTTTTTTTTTTTGGTTTCCTTTCACGTCAACCCCTTACTTTTTGCTTATTTTGGACGGGGTACTTCGAAATGTTCACTATAATATAACTGCATGACTCAATTTGATCCGACACTTGATCAATTATTAATTGTCCTAGACAAATCCACGTCTTGCGGAATTCTTGTTATTTTCGAATTTGAGGAACTGGAGAAATTGCAATCCATTTATTTGAGGCATCATTTTTGAGTTGGCTCGCCTCAATTCCACACGTATGATGAATAAAACCAATTGAATTATTTTCAGTTGATTGAAATGAATGTTTAGTACAGGACGTACCTCCCATACGTATAATTGCTTGTGAAAAAAAAATTATTTTCTACTTTCAGTTGTTCTCAGTAAAGAGAAACAAATGCGTTCCCGAACATCAATGCAATGCTTGCGACGAATTTGGTCATTTCCCTGGCGACGTTTGGCAACCTGATGCCTGCTCAAATTGCACTTGTTCCGGTAAGATTTTGTTTACATCACGCACGGAAATATACATTTTTACGATGTACAGTACTTTTGATTGTGAAAATAATGATCAATGATAGACGTGGGTGGGATCGAGTGCACTGTCAAGCAGTGTCCTGCTGCTCCGATTTGCGGACGAGGTCAAGAAGTCATGACCGAAGCTGGAGAATGCTGCGATGTCCATGAATGCAGTGAGTGCATTTTTTTTTTGGGATGTCCTCAACTTTACTTTTTTCAGTGCTGATGATAAAAAATAGTTATTCTCGAATTCAGATTTTTATTTTTTTGTATTCTGTGTTATTGGTACGTAAGATACGTTTCTCACGATCACGCTACTGTGGGGATATTTCTAGCTTTATATTATCCTGGTTAATTTCGATGCACTAACTTTCAGAAGCGATCAAAATCCTGGAAACTTGTGCCGAACTCCAGAAGCCAGTTTGCCGTTTCGGACAAGTGCTGAAATTGGTGGAGGGTGATGACCACGCCTGTCCATTCTACGCATGTGGTAAAGTGGCAATTTAATTGCACGATCTTCCACAACGACATTTTCAAGTCCACGCAGAAAAATCCAGTTCTAGAGTTTTCAGATAGGTGTCGGTTAAATCCTCGATCTGACATGAAGCGGTCATAAATCTATACGTGATGTTTGAATTATAGAAAGAACAGGACCACCTCAACCAATTATATCATCTGTCGACTCAACATTAAAATGGGGGAAGAAGTAATTTCACCTACATTAACCGAGAATTCAATTAAAATCGAGGCGTCAAGAACTTCTGAAATAAAATCGCCACATTTTTTGACAAATGTTATTTTGTCGGTGTACATGCAGGGTGGAACGAAGTTCAGTAAATAAAGTAGTACTGCTTTCAGTACTCTACTTTTATATAGGACTTGATCGTATATTTAGTTCATTCGTAGACATAATGTTCAATAATGTTCATTTATACTGTAGTAATCGCAAAACACGTTTGGTTCTTGCCAAAACTAAATGTCCAACTTTGAGTTATGCTGTTAACCCAAAAACCTTGTTCGCTTGCCTTCTCTCTTTTGCTGCAGAATGTGTGCCGAAATGGGAGTGTCCAGAACCCGAACCCATCTCGGACCTTTTGCCCGGCGAAGTGGAGGTGTTGAATAACGAAGGGTGTTGTCCATCTCTGGAGAAACAGTGCCAGAAAAACAAGTGCCCAATCGTGTTCCCGTGCCCAGAATTTCATACTCAGTCAATTGCCAATGGCACTGACCACTTGTGCTGTCCAACCAGAATTTGTGGTGAGAGATGCAAATAATTTAGGCATATTTATATCAGAAAAAAGATTGGACATTTGCTTATTTGCTGCTTGTTAGCATTCACAAGGTTAATATATTTTCCCTCGACCCCCCCCCCCCCCCGCAATACAACCATCCGACGTTTTATTATCAATTGTTGATTTTTTTAAATGTTTTTTAAAAAACAAAATTTCTAAAATGCTTATGTCATTGAACATCATACGGTTGAAAAAAACATTCTTTGTTCATATGACAAAATTGATTGCACTCTTTCTCCCGAAATTTACAATTTACTTACCGTATTGAGATTTGTCTTTATCTGGGTCCATCTTAGATTCAGTTGTGTAATTAAATTCGTTAAACGTGTCTTTCAACTTCTTCTGTAAGTACTTGCCATAAGGGACCTACATAGGATTCCAAGGTTTTAGTACGTAACCAAATTAAATCAATTAAGTGAGATTTTAATAAGTTTTATAGTTGAAGACTATGAAGACTAAAGGGATGAGACTGTTGAGCAGTTTCCTTTCATTTTTTTTTTATCCGAGATGTGCAGGTAATACATGTCTGATATTTCAGTCTCTGAAACAAAACTGTATCATTTAACACTAATAATATTTTTAAATTTTCATCTAAAACTGTTTTTCCCCAGAGCCTCCAAAACAGAGTTGCATTTACGAGCACAAATTCAGGGCAGATGCACAAGGCAACGTCTTTCAAGTGGCGGATTTCCTCAGGGAAACCAAGTTGCATCCGGTATGTGTGTCCCGAATTTCAGACTCTCATTATTGAAGATCAATAATGCAGTACTGTATATAGTTGTTGATTATTCCTCCCTCTGAAATGACGATAACGGTCTTCGTCCATATTCAATCACAGGCAAATGAGACGTGGTTCGATGGACCTTGCAATCGGTGCAAGTGCGAAACCGCTTCGTCTGCTGCGGATGCAAACCCCGTGTTTTATCCAGTTTGTGTCCAGGAAGTTTGTGAAGATTTGACGGAACTCGAAAGGAACTATCAGCTGGAGTTGGTGAAATCCCCGGGCAAATGTTGTCCGGAAGTGCGGAAAACGGCGTGCAAGCAGTCGTCAGACACCATCCACATGGTGAACGACGTTTTTATTTTGCTTTATACAGTATATATATTTTTCATTTATTGAGAGATTGATGGACAAAAATTAAGAGGAATGAACTGAATTACTTGTGAATTCTCCTCTACATACATTGATAGCCTTTTAATGCGGTATTAAATTTTTTTTCGTTTCGAAAGGCTGGTTCGAGTTGGGTTGATGCTACTGAAAAATGCATCAGTTACACGTGCCAACATTTGGATGACTCGCAGGTTGAGATCCAGAGGATTTCTCAAGAATGCAACGCAATTTGCGATCCCGTGAGATCATTTTCATTCTGCCATATTACAGCATATCTACTTATGCTCGAATGCATCTTTAAAAATTTTATATGCAGCCGCGATTGCTTTCCTTTCATTCAAATAACTTTTGGAAAATTCGGTCACTCAAATGACCGTGCAAAAAAAAAAAAATCATCCCTTAAGTGCAGCCTAAAATATAGCTTAGACCCTGTGTGTTACAGTTTAATTAAAAATTCACGCGTGCTCCAAAGAAAATGGTGACATCATAGTATTAATGAAAGAACAATTGTGGTATCCGAGTGCTGTTAGTTCTGATGAATCTGCAATAACCCCTTCATATTTCGTGATGGTGTGAAATCCTTACTTGGACTGCTGGTGAATTATTTTTTACTAGAATAAACCGTTGGCAACTTTTGATTGCCGGAAGAGGCGGAAACGCTAAAAACTTTAATTTCCTCCGTCGCTTCTTTTTAAAATCCCTTCCTCGACTATTCAGTCCCCAATAATTTCATGTAACCAATAAATAGAATAATGTACAGAGTAAGCGAAGAATCACCGACACAATAATTGAAACCTTCCGTCCACAATAAGGGCTATGCGTACAAAACTCCCTCGGAATCCGGCACCGACGACTGCTGTGGAAAGTGTGTTAAAGTCGCGTGTCTGGACGATTCGGGCAACGTGAAGCAGCCGAACGAGACGTGGCTCTCCTCGGACGGATGCCTGCATTACGAATGCGTGCTCAACACCGCCGTCGGCCAGGTTATTTGTTGAATAAATGCATGAATAAATGAATGAAAAAAATAAATCATTGGAACTTTCATTTTTGACGCTCAAAAGGTGCACACTGTTGGCGGGAGAGTCGAGTGTCCGTTTTTCGACTCGCAGTGTCCGGAAGCGGACGTCCACTTTTCACCCGACGGATGTTGCAAACTCTGCAACTCGTCCAGCTTGTCTCATGGTCAGTTTTTACGCACATGCTGCATACTGTATTATATAGATTTTGTTTCATAAACTTGAATCCCCGATCGATGACCACAAATCAATCACGGTACTACGTAGTATATATTTGCTGCTTGAACATCGTCCGAGTGCCTCATATATACATTATACTTTAGAGAAAATCATAACCCGCGCTTAAATATAGTCATTCAACTTTGAAGCTTTTCTTTCTTGAATGAGTACTCGAATGAAATCTTGAGGGAATTTTAAATCTATCCCTTAGTTGAAAAATATTTTCCGTATCATGTTCTGCATAAATTTTCTTCAATCAAGTTATTGTTACGTCGAAAATAACCCGAGGTTGTATTCTATTTTGTTTTGAACGTCGAATGAATAAAACATCTCCTTTTCTTACGTTGCAGCGTCATGTTATAGTTTAGGTCGGGATACTTTGTTGATTTATTAATAGTTATGCTCAATATATAAGCCGAGATCAAGTTATTTAGTGATTGAGACGACATCTACTTGACGGCCCCAAACGAAGGCACTGCTGTTCTGGCAGTCAAAACTGATGAATACTCAGTGTAGTTGCCGTCACTGAACTTACGCTGTTGAGCCCAAATTTCCTTCCCCCATTTTCAGCGAATTGTGAAGCCGTTACAATCCAGGATCAAGAGACGCAAAAAACGATTGCTGACCCGAGGTCACCGAAACGACTCTGCAAGCCAAAATACCACCTGTCGGAATGGAAAGCTTGTTTAGGGCACTGCGAATCCGCTTTCTCTTTCCCCACTGCTCCTGTTCCAGGTGATTCCATCACTTGCAATTTCACTACGAAAGCCTTTACCTACAATCACTTTCAAATTGAAAAAAAGAAAAATAACTGAATGTCGTGAAAAAGCGAGATATGATTGATTGTTGTGGAAAATTCTGAAAATTCTTTTCAAACAATTGATTTCATATAATTAACCATCTCTCTGAAGCCCCAGAATTGTTGTGGTGATATTTTACTGTATATAACCTATAAATTGTAACTTCTCTTGTTTTACGTACTATAGGGATTTTCGGAGAGAAAGAAAAGCGTTGCAGTTGTTGCCAACCGGAAGCGTCGAGTTCAATCAACGTGACCTGGATTTGTCAAGATGGGTTTGAATTCCGTGCGGAAGTCAAGTCTGTTTCTACGTGTCAGTGTTTGCCTTGTGGTTATTGATGCCAAGTAGAAGTGGAATCTTTGAAATACAGATATATGTACTGTATACGTTACTTTTTCATAGACAAGTTTGTCTACAATTTTGAATACTGTATAGTGAGAAGAATATTTCTTTGCAGAGACAATACTTTTACACTTGCTTCTATAGCGATTATTTCTTTTAAAACTATTTGATTTTCTTTTTTTTCTGATGAGGGCAACAAATATTTTCAGGCTCAGCTCATATCATAACAACCGTTCGCTAGAAGTATTAAATTGCATGGAGCATGACGAAATAATGTGAATTGCTGAATCAAATAAGATATGAAAACTCCTTTTTTTGTGTATGAAACAAGCAGGGGGATTTTTTGATTTCATAAACAGCCTTCACCGAGAACATTAGGACCACCATGATCCTCAAACAGCAACAATAAATACAAAATAAATTGAATAAATTAGCGGCGGTTCGAAATTATAAGCACAGCTTGAGACACAAATCACGCGTGCAATTTTTTGCTAATGTTTTCTTTGCGTTCTTCAGTGGCTTGCCCTCTGGGATAGTTCTTCTTCTTGATGATGATGATGATGATATGACGAGGAAATTGGCGGACTTCTCAGCTTCGCTTGTGCTCGTGCTGCTGTTTGCTCACGGTATGCTTGTGTGTGTGGCGGTGAATGTGGTGATGCGTTCTTTCATTTGAGGAAGCAGAAACGAAGCACGTGCAAAAATGTAAATGACATAATCATGGCATTCACAGGCAGACGCCGCACGCATACGACTGATGGCGTTAAAACGTTCTTTGAATATAAATTGAAACGGTTTACGATTGAGCTAAAAAATAATCGTTGTCGAGAAAAAAATACAACATTCTCTGGCACACGCAATAATTCAGCAGTTCTTGACATATTTTGCAGGAATTTTTTGTAAAAGTCACCCTGCTGTATGACAGCTTCACTGATGCCTCTTCACTTGAGAGAAGAGGTGTTCATCTCGAAGAATTTTTTGTTTATAGCGCTGCGCCAGGGCGACTTTTGCACACAACAAACAAAAAAGTTTGCAAAATTTCTCAATAGGGGCTGATTCGGCTGAATTTCATTTTATTTCTTGAACCAAAGAAAGTTTTTTTTCTTATGAGAAATAGTTGTTGTTCAGCTTCCTTATCGTATATGCATATTTGGAGAACTTATTTCGGTGGACTCATCGTCAAAACAGTACTGTACAGCGCACGCGGGTGAAATAATGAGCAAAACCAAAAATAACATTATTCGAATTAATCGTGACGCAGCAGCCAACATATACTGTACGATACACTGAATAAATTACCCGTCACTCGGAAAGTCGAGTCCTTCCAGGTCAACTGGGCTCGCATATGCCGGCGAAGACGCAAAGTGGCGGTTCTTTGGGCCGTCTTCGCCGTCGTCGTCGTCGTCGTCGTCGTCGTCTGCCCTGAACTCGGCGTAGTCCGGGTCAAAGGCCAGCGACGTCGTCACCTTATTATTATGATTATTGTTATTATCCCTCATCCTGCCGCTGCCCTCGTTAATCATCGAGTCGAACACGGGGTATTCGTCTTCCTCCTCTTCCCCGGGGGCTGACACGAGTTCCACAATGTCCAGAGGATGATTTCCCGGATTGCTTCTCCTTCCACTGCATTACAGTATTCAATCGATGGCATAGATCGTATTATTATTACGTGATATTGGTGTGGACTTTGGAAGAGGCTTATTGGAAAGACCTCGTTGAGAGCGACATCTAACCTGTAGACGACAGAGTAGGCCAAGTATCCGTTTCGTCGCTGAGGGTTCAGAGGTCTCGCTTGTCCTTGTTTCCCGTTCAACAGCGCAGCTGTGATGATGCCGATCTCGTCAGCAGGGTCGCCGAAAAACGCCGCCTCGTCCTCATCGTTGTCGTCGTCGTCGGCTTCCTCTTCGTCGTCGGGGAAAGTGAAAGCTGCGAGGGCCTTGGCTGCATCTGCTGTCGGATTGCTGATGTAGGTCTTGGAGTGGACGGAGGAAGCGGATCCGTAGCTTGTGGCGGCGGCGGCTGCTGCTCCAGCAGGGCCAGATGGGCCAGATGAACTCATCCCTGCCCCGAGGAGATCCAGAAGCGCGGCGTCCGAGTCCATGCGATGTTCGGCTTTCATCTCGGAGGCGGCTCGTCTGTGCCTGCTGATGACGATGATTATCATGATCATGTGCATATTTAGCACATGAGCCTTCAATTTCCCTGAAATACTGACCATTTATTTATTCGGGGTTGCTTTTTTTTGCAGCATCTCTGAATCAATTGCCACAATTTCTGCAATCCCGTTGAAAGTTTAGCAAAGGGAAACGAAAATGTAGTTTAAAAATTCTTTTCGGCATTATGTTCTGACTGAATAACTGTTAGAGCATATGAGGAAAAGCTAAAAAAAAAAACGCATCAAAAGCATGGATTTGCAATATTTTGCATGTGATACAGTACTACATGCTGATGATTATTGGCAAGATAATTTATGCCGCTTATTGTCATCAAAATTCCCGCCTGCGTCAATAAACAACGGTATATATACAGTATGTGTGTATGAAATTTAAAAAATAGAGCACGTATAAGATTTAACTCGGTATTTTGTGTTTATTTCATTTTTTATTTTTTTTAAATTTAGGAGACAATCATGCTTGACTTGACTTGGCAAAAAAGCATGACTTCTGCTGATGGTCTAATTTCTCTTCAAGTACCGAGAATCACGCCGTCGAGGTAATATACCTTATATATAGAGGCCATTCAGCAGCTGCTGCTGCTGTCAGCTGTGAATCACCATCATCGTCATCTATATATAATGGCAGCAGCACGAACAATTGCCGACCTTTTCCTATACAGTATATAATATGTAGCGCGCCGCAAAGTGCAATAATGACTGGCAGGAAGTTGCTGCCCTCGGGCCATTCTCGGGGTTCACGGAGGAGGAAAATAAAGTGACACACTCCAATACCTGCCCGCACACCAATAAAACGTAACTCACGCAAGCACGGAGAATGAGGAGAAGCAGCATATATACTCATATACTATATAGTGTGAGTGACCTGCATCTGCTGGCAAACCGAAGCAATGAAAGAATTGAATGAAGAAAAGAAAAATTAAAAAATAAACACTTTGTTCCATTACCCTCGAAAGCAACGGAGCGTGTCTCGCCAAGATTGCGCTCTCTTGCCTGTATGGGGTATATACAGTATAGCAGCACTTATGTCCTCTCAACAGCCTGTTTGGCGAAGCGAGATAAAATACTCTACTGAATATATTCATATATATATACAAATGTCCTTGTCAAACTTGGAAAAATAAGGATATTCAAAAATGGGAAATGCATCATGTGAGAAAGTTATTTGAGAAGACATTCTCGCACAATAATAAAAGTAAAGAGGCTCTTTCTATGTATGCTCAATAAGTCAGAGACCGAATCTTTCACAGCTATTCATTTTTCTTCTAAATATTTGAGAAATGACCTAATAATCGTGGAAACGCCGATTTATTCAGGGACTATTTGTAAAAGTTATTTTCCATGTTTTTTATTCTATTAATTCTTACTGCTGTACTACTGTATACATTATATTACCTTGCTATGTTTTTTCAATGAAATGGGGGGGGGGAAAGGCTTATTGGTTATAAAACAGCAGTATATAATAGGGGAAAGGGATTCAACGACAATGGACCGGAAGTACGTATGATGAACCCGGGCACGGCGGGTGCGACATTGAGTAATTGGTTATAATAACTCATGGTCGTGCGCGGCTGAGAAGTAAATCTCGCCTCTGGCAAGGGAATGGCCCACAGCAGTGGCACGATAATAACAATGACGATGATGATGATGGGCTTGGTATAATGACGGTGACATGGCCTCTGGCACATCAGGCAGTGTGTATATACAGTATATAGGCGAGAGCAGCAGACCCCAGCATATGTAGCAGGAAAGCCGGCCAATCCCCCCCAATCTCAACGTGACCCGCCATCCGCACAATTGCCCCACAAACGACTCAATGTGCGCCCTTATTCCCTCCGACACCCAACTCATCTATACTGCATCAATCCCATACTTTCTCAGGTCAAGCCGTCTATATTTTCTCCCGACTTTCCTTTCTATATAACATCGACCCGCTACATTTCTCTCTCTTAAATCATCTCATGTCCTCCGGCGCGGGTCAAGGCTAACTACCACATGTGCACATATGCACAAGGGGTCTAATAAATATTCTTGGTATATAAATTGAAACAGCAAACAATTTTCTTAAGGGAAAAAATATTCTTCAACACAGTTAAGAAATAAAATCAGCCCTGTTTTATCTATATTTTTGCATTTTTTAATGCGCAAAATTCAAACTGTGGTAAATTTCTGCTCTTCACTCAAAAAAAAAAAAAAATGGGGCGCCCAGCATATGGAGCAGATTTTGTTGGTGTGGCCCATCAGCTTTTCCGTTGGAATTTTTGGAATTTGTTGGCTTTAATTCAAAAGGGTAGCCGATATTAATTGATTATTATTTGATCAGCCGTTTTCTTTGGCAGCTGCCACTTGGGACGAGAATGTCGCGGCCTTTAATAAAAATGGCCGAATCATTTTAAATGTACCTGAAGGAAACCCTTTGAATCAATGCCGTGTCAATTTCAAGAATGCTGAAGGAGAACCTGGCCTAATAATTCGAGAAAATGAGCGCCTAGTATTTTGAGAATATGAGCAGTTAATTTAAGCTTCCAGGGTTATTTTTGCACATACAAATATGCCCAAAAGGCCGGAATTTTTTTCACCAAGGAATGTTTTCACTGAACAACAATTGTTTTTCAGCTCGATAGTACTGTATGCCATTTCAATTTCTATCTCGAACACGTTTGTTGGACCCCTCGTATATACCTCGTATATAGTCAACCCCCACCAAAGAAATCGACAATTTCCGGCCCAAACTGGAATGAATCCTTCACACAGAAAAAAAAAAGAACTAAAACCAAACTAAGAATTCATGTCCATACGGGAGTAGCATAAGTACCTGTTTTCCCTTTCTTATTCGTAGCAAGTTTGTTATGACGATGAATGTGTATCAGTGAGACAAGCACAATAAGTAAAGTTGAGGAATATCGCGAGAGTTCGAAAACATAATTTTTTTTTAGCGCAAATCCTTGATTGTCATCCAGCGAAAGTTTTCCTCGGGATATTTGCAGGGAAGTTGAAATGTGGTAAATCTATTTTCTTTTGAACAGGAACAGTTTCAGAATGATGCTACAATAAATTGAAGAAGAAGATTAGTGGTAAAAGACCCTAACAGTATTCACTTCAATAATGCTCATTCCAGGCATGCATCATCATCTGTATTATACGGTACATCTAAACGATTAATCTGTATACAGTATACACAAGAAGGAAGAAAATCAGGCCAGAAAATCGCTAGTTCAATTCAGGCCGGAGCGCGAACACGGGCGGGAGGGAAATAGAAAAGATTCGGGTCTTACCCCACTTTCCAAGAGTAGCACAAGTATAGGAAAAAGTCTCTATAGCCATTTGCTCGGCCGATAATAGAGCAGAGTCTCATTTGTTGTCATCTTATTTCTAATTTTTCAAGCATTCAATCAAACGCTGTTTCAACGGGTCGTAATCAGAGACGTGTCCAATCGTCCATAAAACACAAGTCCGAGCACTAATCACTCGCTGAGATATACTTTACTGCATTTGTATATTTACTGTACTGCATAATTTATTGCAAGGAATTATCCCTAACATTAAAAAATAATAATTAGTGCAATTACACTGTACGTAAAGTGTGAAGGTTTGCGATGAGGAAAAAAATTTTCAATTTCACCTTTCGACAAAATAATGCCCATGTTTTGAAGAAGCCGGAATAAAATTATCAGATCAAGCAAGTTTTCATAATTGCTCTTCAAGATTACAGTACTCTCCAATAATAAAGCATATTAAAATGTGAAAAAAGCAAAACCTTCCTCTGCCGGATATCAACTTTTTATCCTGCCTCAGTTGTATGATGTACCACGAAAAATCAGCTGTATACTGTGGTCTCATTTCCTAAACTTTCCCATGTTATACCGTACACGAAAAGTTAATCTTGAAATTTTGAGCAATTCAATGAAAATTCATCCTTAAAAATCTAATAAACATTTGGGTGTAATATTGTCAACTAGCTTTCAAATAGTCGATTTTTTTAAATTACTGTTGCGATGGTTTTGAATATTGCTCTGAGTTTTATTCTAAAATTGAGATCATATATATACAGTACTGTATATGTAATTGGAATTAAATGAAATACTGTACAGTTTTAGCAAATGACAGACTGCAAGAATTATTCAATTGTGCTGAGAATTGAACTTATTGAAATTGATGGATTTTTTTCACAGCTGGAGTATGATGGAATATATTGAAAAAAATTTCAAGAAAGTACTGTACTGTTCTTCATTATCAATGTAGATTTTGGAAAGTCCACTTGCATAGATGATAGTGTGTACGGTGTATTATGGCTCAGTATTAGAATTAAAGTTAAAAATTTTGTGTGGGTTTTGTGCATGTCAATTGTTTGTGAATGTGTGTGTGTGTGTGTTTTTGGTTGTTGTTGCTCCAGTCACGAACTTTCCAGCCCCGGACACTTTCTTGAGATGTGAAGGGATAATAAGAGAGTAATTCGATATTTTGTTGCTCAATCTTCAGATTTTCCTTTATTCAGTAAAAAGAAACGATCCAACAGAAACAAAACAATTCTTAGCCAGAACTTTTGGGGAGAAAAACAGCCAAGTTTGAGTTCCAATCGATTCTCTTACAACGAAAACAACGCGCTTTTTTTCAGGCAAAACAAAAAATCCAACCAAAAAAAAATTTTCGTAACAACATCCGCCTTCAGCGGAAGCGAGAAATCTGCAAAGGTTTTCTCGCTTCTGCTGAGACGAACGAAGCCGATTGATCGACCAATCGGTCAATCGGCTTCTCGAGTAACCAGGCCCGCAAAAAAATACATTAGCAACAACAGGCTTTTCGAAGACGCCCCGAAAAAGCAGAAGAAGAAGAATGAAGGGAGGGGAGAATCTAATGTATCAATTTGAAGAATCAAAATCGGGAGATTTTGATCAGAGGGATTAGGAGAGAGAGAGAGACACCGCGAATAAATTATGGAGGGAGCGACATCTCGAGCAGTAGTATCACAAAAGCTGGGGGTGGACCCACGCACGCGCCGTGTCGGGGGGGACTTGGAGAGCGGGCTACGAGGTGTCGCCCCATGCCGGCGGCAACCGGTGGTTCTTGAGCAGGTCCTCATAGGTCGGGTCAGGCCCCGCGCTGCGAGTCACCTTGCTCGGCACCGGCTCCAATAACTGCTTCTTCGTCACTGTCGGCTGCTGCCTCGGCTGTTGTTGTTTCGACGGCAATGATGGCGGTTGTTTCGGCGGCGTGCGGGAAATAAAAGTGGTCGGTTGCTGCTGCTGCTGCTGCTGCTGCTGCTGTTGTTGTTGTTGTTGTTGCTGCTGCTGCTGCTGCTGCGGCTGCTTGAAGAAGGTCGTGTCGATATCGATCCGTTTGGTTTTACCGTATTTCCCTTGGCTGCGTTTCCACACAATGAGAGCACAACAACACAAGCGTCATTTCCTCTCTCTTTCTATCATCATCATCCCATGGCTTCCTTCCTTTTCGCTCCCGTTTTCTCAACCAGTCCCACAACAACAAGCAAAAAAAAAAAAAAAAACAAAGACTACAGAAACCCCTTCACGCCTTCGCTGATGATTAATCCCCAGCAGTCACTCACTCACACACACACACACTCTCTCGCTCTTATTCTCAACACTTTTAATGCATTTTTTCTCTCTTTTTTTCGAGCATTATTGCTGAATTCGTGTGTGACTGTGGAGTATTAAACAGCAGAAAAAGCGCTGCTCAGATGATTAGTCTCGTCCTTAAAAAAAAAAACTGCAAATAAGGTGCGTATACTTGCTGATGTGTTTAACCATTAACAAACATATATGTAAAATCTAAGAAATAATATAAACGGAAAAAGGAAAGAAGCGTGCGTACAAAAAAAATAAAAAGAAAGAAAGATGGGGAAACGATCACGATCAGCAAAGATGATGGGGCTAGTGTGAGTGTTAGATGAAGAAAGGAATAATGTACAAAATTATGCACACAAATACTGTATGATTTGTACTGCTGATGGGGACTTATTGAAGGAAAACAAAAAACGGGGCATATACAACTATAATGCAATTAACAAAACAAAAAATAAAAAATAAATATGCATAAATATAATATATAGAAGGTAATATAGGCACAGCAACGATGATAGGAACTCACACTATAGCAATTCTTTTCGAGACAGTTTTAAGAAAACTGCGGAGCTGTGGACACCAGGATGACGGAACCAGTGTCCTTACCCGTAGTATCCGTGGCTGGAATGTCCGTGACTGGAGTGAGTGTACTTGTGCTTGTGTTTGTGGGAATGCTTATGCTTGTGCTTGTGGTTATGGTAATGATGATGGTAGTGGTAGTAATGTTTCTTGTATTTCCTGCACACAAAAAAAAAAAAAAAAAAATGGGGGGAAAAAAGATGCGTGAGAATCAGATCCTCAGGTCTGCCCACAATTATCACGATGAGGTCAACAAGATTTATCCGCGATGACACGATGACACGACAGCAGCTGCTATATTCCATCACTATTATTATTATTATCATCATTATTATTATTATTTGTATTATTATTACTATCATTATTTTATCTGCCATCAATTTCCCCTGATTGCAGAAGAGAAGGCAAGGAAAAAGAAAGAAAAAAAGTGAAAGCATCTATGTATATATATATAAGAGCACACTTGACCCAGTTTGGTTTTCCCCCTCCTCAATCTTCTCCCTATAATATAGTGGAAAGTTTTCGAACAATAATTTTCCTTTTCCTTTTTTGCTGCTGCTGCTGCTGCCCTCCCCCCAATTGTCAATGCCGACAAATGCCCTGAGGGGAATGTGGGAGAAACCACGACGAGGGGAGAAAGAGAGAGAAAAAGGGTCAGCTGTGATCGGTTTGACCCAGTTTTTCCTAGCATTTCGCTTCAACGAACCGGAAAGAAAAACGTTCCGATTCTCCTTAAGAAATTGAATCCATTTTTTTGCCCCCCGTGTTGTTTCTTTTGCTGTAATAAATCAATATTTATTTTCAACCTTGGGAATGCGTTTGCTGATGTTAGATTCGTGATTGGGATTAAAATCAAGGAACAATAAAAGGAATCTATTTTCGAAAGAAAAATACTTATTATTCTGGCTTGACAAATTCAAGACCACGTTAATACATTTACATATTATCATTGCTGATGAGGTGTTCATTCGAGATTTTCAAATCAATTTATTTTTAAATTGAATTTCTATATATGCTGCATATATATATGAGCGAAGTTTGCAGAAAATTGTGAATAAGGGTCACAAAAGCATACGGTGTATGAGGTCTCGAAAACATTTTTTCCTGAGAATCCATAAAATCTTCTTCAAATTTCGTGGATATATGAAAATGATTTTAATGGAATAAATTTGAAATTGCTGCTGCAATACCCGAGAGAATAACTCGAAAAGATGACGACCGAATCCTCTGGATATATATTGGGTTTGTATCATCGGCATTTCGTGTCACGGAATTTTTTCTTTCCCTATTCACTATAATGTTTCATCTTGTTTGAAAAAACCGCAAGTACTTTTTTTGATATTCCGGGGGTACTGATGGAAAAAAAGATGGCGACTTACTTGTAATAGGGGGCGTGGCTGCTGCCACCGTACTTCTTTGCCAATGCGTCGGGCGCCGCTTCGGTGAGCGACAAAAACGCGATGGCCACGATCAGCAGCAGAGCTACGATCTGTTGCAAACAAGGAAATATTTGACAGAGAAGAAAAATAAAAGAAATGCTGGTTGATTGATTTGATTGATTGTTTGATGATGAACTCACCTTGATATTCATGGCTGGAGTTTTGTTGGTGTTGGATCCTCCACGTCAAACTAGTTGTCCACGTGGCACGAAAACGAACTCAAACAGTACCGGTTTCTCCCCCCAGTTCTATATATACATGCATACAGAGATAATGGTGATGTATGCAGCAAAGACCAAATTCGTTTCCTTCTGCTTTTTTATTATTATTATTATTTAAATATGTACTATTCCTCCCCATGTTAATTATACGTTGTGAACTTGAAAATACATTTTGTACTGTACTCGGACATTCGTCTTTATTGTTATATTACATGCGACTGCATGGTTGGAAAGTTCAAAGTCCTTATTTTTACAGCAACTAAATAATACTAAAGTGATGATGCACTCCACTCTTTCATTTATAATCGAGATGATTCATTAATTGTTCCTTTAAAACACTGGTTAACTCTCAACTTTTACAAGTACTGCATATATATATATGCAAATGATCACACAGCACTGCTGCTGGCATACAGTATTAGCACTTTTTTCCTTTTTTTTTTTTTTTTTGCTCGTTATTGTTCAAGAATGGTGAGGATGAGAGGAGGCAAGTCGAAAGCACTATATACTGAGACTCATCCAGCCACACTGTGTCATATATTGATTATTAGAACCCAACCAAAATAAGAGGGCCTGCAGAATGCATTCGAGAATGAATAAGTAAGAAGTTGGGATTATAGAAATAGCACCATTGTATGGAGAATTTATATATATATGTATTCACTTGTGAAAAAGTATTTGCACACTGCAACTAAAACTCTCTGTATATAAATCACTGAAGCCTTTTTTTTTCCTCCTCCTCCTCCTCCTTCTTCTTCTTCTCTCATCAGCAGCACACCATATAGGAACGGTTGTGCTGAAGGAATATGAATGATGAGAGAAGAGGAGGAAGGTTGTTGGCAGGCTGAGAACCGAGGCGGTTGTGACTTGGACTGCTAGAAGCGAGCAGGTTTTATAAGCGGCGCCATTTGCCGCCTTCTGGCGGCCTCCTTTTGCCAACACGGCCGGAAAAAATAAAATTGCCGCTTGGCTGCTCCAGCTGACGCCTTCTTCTTCTCCTTCTCCTTCTTCTTATTTCATTCCTTCCATTTGCTCGTTATTTCACTCCTGGTGCTGCTGGCCATGCTCACTTTCTTATTCACTCGATCCCCTTATTCATGCGGACGCCTGCTTATTTTCTCTTCTTTTCTGCAACACCCGAACAGCAGCAGCAGCAGCAGCAGCCTCTTAGTCTCCAGATATGAATTTATCATTAGGTGATCTAGCTCCTCTCGTCGTGCTGAGGAGACCAGCAGCATGTACTTTTCTCCTCCTCCTATAGGGATTTGCCTTTCTATTTCTTGTGACGACGAGGAGTCAGCAGCAGAGAGAAAAAGTTTCCTTCCCGATCTCCGAAGGCAAGACCATCATCAGAAATTATTGTTGCGAAGGATAATTCCCAGCATCTTGATTGAACGTATATATATACATAATTGCTTCGATCTGATCTCAGCATGCAGCAGCAGCAGCATAAGCGGTGCTGATATGACTTGAATATGATGCTGGTTCTCTTCGTGTGTGTGTGTGTGTGTGTGTGTGTGCGGAAGGTACAGCATGTTTTCATGAAATAAAATAACAATGATGCAATGTATATATATAGCGTTGAAATGAATAAAGACGGAGAATTCCGAGAGAGTCGGTTGTCAATCATAACACAACAGATGAACAGTAAAGTCCCTTCAATGATTAATGAGGTGCTTCTTCAACAACATGCAGCGCACATCCTGCGTCATATATATGCTGGAAACATCACAACAAATTATGAATACTTTGCTTTCTACGTACTGTATATACAAAATTCTGCAGTTGTCAAGACATTTTTATAAAACGAGGCCGAGCTCAAAAAAAGTTTGCATTTTCAAACGTGTAATGGGACACGAGAATAAGCTTACATGAAATCATCGTGCAATCTGAATTGCATTTTTTATTATCCTCTGCTGTTGCAGTTTATACTCTTTTTGTTTGCAGCTTGCTCGTATACGCACATATGATGTCACGCTCAAAATGTGAGTCACACAAGATTTCTTTTCGAGGATCTCGTTCCAAAGATGCATTTTCACGAAGCAGTATAGAATCTCGTTGAAAAGGAAAAAAATGCTGCATTTTGCTTGAAAAATCGTGGAAACGAAATAAACATGCCATCATTTGTGCCTAATATTAATTGATCAGGAAACAGAAGAAGAATTCGTTCTGATCAATATAAGTTCGTTGTAAGAGGTTTTGTATGTTCGTGAAAGATTACTTTGGTTTCAATAAAACGCTGCAGTGGACCCTCGAAAAATGAAACCTGCAGCCTGTTCCTGCTTGGATGAAGATGTTCCTATATATGGATTTTATTGTGAATATTTTTTTGTGCGAAACAAAATTTCCCTGAAGATTATACATATCACAAAAATGTTACTCTGTTCCGAAAATTCTAAAGATCCTGAAAGTACCCATATGTGAAGATAGAGTAACAGTAGAATTGGAGCTCAGTGAAAGCCTGGCATTGCAATAATTCCCACTCATCACAGCACCGTATTCCCAAGACAATTTTGTAATGCTAGACATGTTCGTCATATAATGTATCTTTTTATTTTTACGTCGCAATACGAAATTTGCATTTGATGCGAGGACCAATTGAATCATATACTGTACTCCACCTAATCATACTGCAACACAGTACCTTTCATCAGGAAGCATTAACAGATAGTATTCTTCATATAAACTGTACCTGTATGCAGTATACGTTCTTATTGGCAATAACTGCATTCACTGCATTATTATTCCCACAGCATAAGCTGCTGCGGATTTTCCTTATTTGTTTTCAGAGTTCGCCTAATATCTCCTGTATATAATCATACAGCATTACCCGATTACACTATATATCCGTGGAAATTGGAAACAACAGAGAGTTGCAAGTGTGAAATGGCGGCGTTGGAAGAAAAGAGAAAAATCGATGGCGGTTTTTCGTCGTGGCAAATCGGTCGTGTTCCACGAGAAGTAGACTTTCTCCTTCCAGCAAGCTTTCGTGCATATGTGGCTGCTTATTGCTGCTGCATGGCTATATACGTATATATACAGCAGTAGTATACTGTACATAGTATAGCAGAGAGCAGTTATCGTCGAGAAGGATTTTTTTCTTTCTCTTTATATTCTCCAACGATCTCACGTTACAAAGGGCGAAATTATCACCTGCGCGTATAGCACATAATAAAGCGTCTTGTGTCGTCTATATAGATGAGTGAAATCAAGAGACCCAATAACAGCAGGAAGTTATAAATTGACATTTTTCGTTGCTGCTATGCAGAAAATCCTGCTGCTGCGTGTACTTTAAATAAGTGCTGCTTTTGCGGGGCAAATAAATGTAAATAGTGAAGGAACAATAAGATAAAAATATCAACATGAGTGAGAAAAGAATCGAACAGCTGTATATATATATATATATATATGTATACAGTATAGGTATAGTTGCCTATGAAAAAAAAAGCTTCATGCGAGGGCTGATTCAAAAGTTTCGCCAATTTATATTCCCTCGTCGTCGTCGATCATCAGAGAAGAGTGTTTCTCTAATATGCAATAAATTATTTTCCTGAATTCTTCCCTGAACTTTTCTTCCTAACCTTTGCCTAAATCCGTTTGGAAATGAAGAAAAAAAGGAAGACAGCAGTAAAATTACTACAGTACTGTATTCTGTATATATACGTAGGGAGAAACAACCTTTTTCGGATATACAGTAATCTATAATACGGATCATTAGATTTGACCGCAGTAATTCATGGTAATTCAATGTATAAAACAAATTTAAAATACTACTGTGGAATTGCTCTCGGAAATTTATAAATTGAGTTATACTGTACTGATGCTGACCTACAGTGTTTCCATTTATTACACGGTTTGAGTGATGGAGATTAGCATTTTATTTATATGATTCCCCGCGCTTCGCGAATCACAAAAAAAAAATCCGAGTAGAAACTCGGTATAAAGAATTAATACTTATTACGACAAATTTGATTTGTGTCCCGCCTTTCCAATTATATAGCCCCAATGCTATTTTAATCTCGTTTCAATAACGAATTTTCATTTATAACTCATCATTTTTATGGCCACAAATGCTGCGTCATTATGAAGAGATTTGACTGATGCATTCAGAAATGAGAACATTGGAAGATGAATTCGCCAATGTAAAATATTGTACTACCGACCCGAGAAAGCGCAGTTATTGAAGCAATATTGGTACAATATTTCCAAACAGACGTGGCAAAATGCAATAACCTTCATGGTGTATTAAGCTAACTAAAACTGTCTATAATTGATTATCCCAGCGGATAATTCCGCCAACATTCGCGATATCGGAAATTTGTGGCAAATCCTTCCCATGCAGACATGAGAAAAAGTGAAAAATGAATAAGTGATGAGTATAAATAGATACATAAATCAGCAAATTACCCGAAACTGATGCGAAACGTTATTCTTTCATTTCTATCCCATTTTTCGCAGCACAGGAAAATCAGTGAAATGACTGAAATCAGCTTTCGTGTAATTTTTTTTATTTTTTATTTATTTTTTTTCTTTCGTTTCCCTGCCGCGTTCGGGCTTTAATTACCCCAACACGAGTCGATCAGCAGCAGTCGGGAAGTGATGATGATGCCTTCGGAGAAAGCAGCAGCAGCAGAGACAAAACCACTCATTACCCCCCTCGGGAATAATTAAGCCCCGACAAGCAATTAACGCCGGGGGGATTTGCGGCCCGAATCACGGCGCTTCTTCTTCCTTCTGCATATAATAAGAAGAAGAGCGGAAACCGCGGAGAAGGAAACCCGGAAAGGGTCAACACCGGGTTCTGACACGGAAAGCAGAACCAGGTCGCCAAATAGAGACACATACCTATAGGAAACTCTTTTCATATCTGGGCTAATATACGTATATATGCACACGTGGGACGTGCGGAGCAAAAAAATAAATCTCATTCCCCAGCATCAGCATCATTTTCGACTAGTCACCTTCCGGTCAATAACCCACGCCATAAAATGCGAGGACAAAAAAAGACGAAATAACGAAGCTTGAATCGATTAATTC